TGACGTAACTGAAATATATACAGGATGTCTGTCGCTAAGTACCTCATCTGTCATATACATGTCTGTCAATTTAAATCAATGTGAACGAAAAAGTCCTCCATCATTTCGCAAATAACCATACAAAGGAGTTTGTCCATTTTTGGTCTATAAACGAATTTGGATGGGACACATATCAATTTGATGGATCCCTGATTCCGAAGAGCTATCTCTTATTATAAATCTGAACAGCGTGGCCCAAATTAGGGGGAGGGGGTAAAAGTTTCAAATATAGAGTTGACGTATTTGGCGTAGCAAACGATAAAAGTAGAATTTAGACGAAAGAAAAGGATGCTTGGACTTCAAAAATATTGACAAGCATAATATATGAAAGAAATTAACTACAGTATGGCAATTTTTTATTCAACGAGATTAGGTAATAATAAAATATAAAAAAATTTCCAAGGTCTGTTTGTGAAGTTTAAAAATATGTAATCTATTTCCAATGTGAGCGTTATACAGGGTTGAGTTATACAGGGTTCAAAAAATGCAAAACGGAAAATTGCGTGTTTTTCAATGAAGTTTTTTTTTGTAAAAATTGGCCAGAATCAATTCTAAATTAAAACAAAGTCAGATACATGAGATGAAATTAAAGATGTGTGACATATAAGGAAAATATATAAAAGAAAATCATTCGTTGTCAGTGCTTCCTAGAACACAGAAAAGATCAACTTCGCTCAGCGAACCTACTAGTTCTCGAATCTCGATCCTGGACCTGCCGTATTCAATTATCATTGTGTGCACAACATTTAATAATTCTAAGATCATTCTTATACTGGTATTCTACAATGGAATCGGCACCGGTTTTTGACTTATCTACTAGAACACCGATAAAGTACTTTCTGACACTTCGTTTCCGAGATTGCTCGAATGTCCACTCGCCGACAAGGCTTTTTAGTTAATATATCATAGGAGATTAGAGATAAAGTTTCAATGTACTGACATTAATCAACGTGGCGGAGAAACAACCTTGAGAAAACAAATTTTCTGCCAATTAAAACGTCGGCCTAATCTCGAAAGTGCGTCGGAGCAAACGCGTTCGGAGCGGACGAACGCACGGGGGAGTCCGCGCGGAAATTCGTCGAAATAAGTTTTTCCGCCGGACGCTTCCTCCCTCCTCTCTCTCTCTCTCTCTCTTCCTCCCTCTACTCGAGAACGCCTAATCTGTCTCATCGCGATATAAGTCGGCGCGTATTTCATTTACCCGCCTCCGCGACCGCGCGCGTCCCAATTTCATTTCGCGAAGAAACGTCGCGACCCTAAGCGAGCTTAAATCGGCTTAAGACAGCTTAAGGAGCTGTACACGACGACATTCCCTGTCTTGCACGGATCACCCACGATGGAGGATCCGCTCGTATCGATCCCCCCTCCAGCGTCGAGAGAGAGCATCCCCGGCGCAGCCTTAATTTAAATGGCAATTATCTGAGTGGAAAAAGTCGTTAGATTAAAAGTTATTGCCGCGATCGGGCGTATATACGGGTATACAGTCGATTAGGCGCGTTTCGCGGCCTCCGAAATGGATTAGCGGAAAATTGCCCCCGTCGCGTCGACTCCGATCGCCGGAAGCGAGGGCGCTCGCGCAAGATTATATCGATGCACACGATGCGCACGGGGATGTGTGCTCACCGTGGGAGATATTTTCTCGTTTTTCCCCCTCCTCTTTTTTACTTCCGCCACGCCGGAACTTGTATTTATCGCGGAACTACACGCGCGTTGTGTGCGTTTAGACGCACGACACGAGGAACGTAAGGAAGAACGTAAGGAGGAACGCAAGAGAAACACGCGATCTCGACACGTGGGGGACGCGCCCTTCGTACAATCAGCGCGGGCGGCGACAGCCGGGGGGGATACGTTTCCGTGCGGGAGTTCATTAAAAGACTCTCCGTCTCGATCGTAGGAGCTGCGAAGTCTGGTTAAGCTAACCTCCGGTAGCAGAGTGCTCGCCTAATGGCGGCAACTAAGTGGTACTTTAGTGCCATAATTAATAGTAACGTTTAGTGTCCTGTTGTAACGATAAATGTCGTAATTAGAGTGCAGCCCGAGCAGTTAGATGCGCGCGCGGGCAAGCGAGCGGTATATTAGCATGTTGTAACAGCTTGTTGCAGAAGCCGGTTCGCCTTTCTAACGCGTTTATTTGCATGCATCTGGAACAATAACGACTTGCGAATCGGCGCGACCGGCTACGGCGCGATTGCTCCGGCGAATCGCGCTCAAACGACGCGTAATCCGATTATAAGATTAATTATGGTCCGATTAACGGCATTTTTTCCTACCGTAAAATTAACGTTGTTAATAAACCGAAGTATCGATGCCGGTTGTGTAATATGCTGTTATTAAAGCCGTTTACACGTAATACACGCGCGCCCATCAGGGGAGGGAGGAGGGTATAATTCTTTCAAAAACGGACCCGTAGTCTGATCACATTAAATTATCCAATTTATCGGACGGTCCGGCAGATATTAATTAAATCCGCAGGACATGCATTGTCCTTCTTTCGTTGAAACACAATTATTCGCTGGGAAGGTGGATATTTTAAGCTTGCATTCCGCTGCAACGCCGCAATTTTATACATCAGCGTTTAAAGTTGAATTAATTTAATAATTATTTCCCGACAACGAGATCGCCACGTCGGAGGTGTGACCACACCGTGATATTTCGTCGTTATTTGTGATCTTTTTGTACGTAAAAAGAATATAACGTCGTTCGTATTGTTAATGTAGATCGTGCGTGAACAGGTTTAATCGTTGCAGACCGAAGAAGTTACTTATCGCAAAGTCATCGCCGGCGTAAAATATTATCTGGTTGCAACAAGGTCGACGATGCAGCGAACGGATATGTCGTAAGATAAAATGGAAATATCAATACGCTGGATTCCGGTCATCGGTGACCGGATATACTGTGATACTCTTGCGTCTCATTAAATTATGTATAAAATATTATATTTATAGTCAATAGTATTGGAAAAATTTTTTGTACGGTCAAAAGAGGACATTGAAAATAAAAGATGTATACGTCCTTGATTTTACATTTACTTATTACATTCTCGACGATTCATTCATCAGTTGAGTCTTCGTACACGTTGAAAAAAATAGAGAATGAGTAGGAAAAATGGGGAAAAAATTTTAGTATAATATCTTCGTAGTGAAAATGAGAACTTTCAACTGATGGGCATAATTAAGACTACAAATTTACACTAATACGTGAATAAATCATAGAGACTGAATTTAAAATAATTTTAATTCACCATTAAAAATTTTACAATCGAGAAGTTGACTATGTCCCTTGGCAAGATAAACTTCACAGTTCATTTCCGCATTATTGGAAAACACAGTAAAGTTGAGAAGAATTTGTACGAAAAAAGCTGCAATATTCGCATGCAATGAACGAGATTCGACGCGTCTTCCCTCGTGTCCGTTATTTTTTCTTTCTATCAACGTTAAACGATGTCTCTCGGCGCGGTTCGCGACGTTCGCCGGCACGTGACGGCGCGCACACACACGGAGTCACTTCTCGCGTAATCGGTTTGACAGCGCACGGTGGTAGCGGCGCGTAAGTCCCGTGCGAAGATGGATGCCCGGTCACCGTGGGAGACGTTCGAATAAAATTTCGGCGAGCTATTGGCGCGAACGCGGCCGTTTAATCATTTTCGCGTACAATTTAATCGCGCGCAACGAGCAGGACAGCCGTCGACCAGTCGGCCGGCTCTTACGCGCCCGGAAACAAGGACCAGCCGGGACATGTTTCGTAAACCTCGTAAACGCGGCCGGCCATTATGGTCCACTGCGAGTCCAAATTTCACGCTCGATAAACGTCGAGCGCGGGCCGCGTGTATCCGGCGATACTGTGCACTTGCGAGCGACCGAACGAAGGACCAATGGCACACCATCGCCGCTGCCGTACAAAGAGAGAAAAATCGGGAGCAGGATCATTCCCGTCGTTCGACCGCGTCCTCCGAGCCGGATGGAATCGAGGCAAAGCTCTCTTGGCGTCCGGTTGAAAATCAGAGGACATTCGCGATTTGAACATGTATATACAAAGCGCCCCAGAATCAGCGTGTGTCCTCAACGTGACGGACAAATTCTTTGAAACGTCTTAAGACGAAAGTTCAAGCACGTCAGGGAGCTCCTTGTTCACAGCGACTTTTCAATTTTTAATACAACGTATCGTAACTAAAGTTTCAAATAAATCTTTGTAAAAGTAAAGTTCACTTGAAATTGATGAAGGAAGATTATTTTGTTTATTCGGTTGAAATTGAGTTTGCGAAGAGCTTCTTCGATCGCTTCTATCTCAGAAATTATCGATGCTTCGATAATTGAATTTTCGTCTTGGAATGTCCCGAAGAGTCTATCATGTTAAGGTACGTTGCTTTCGAAGGACACTATGTATACATATATATAAACATATATATATATATATATATATATATATACTACACAGTCCGAATCTTTGCGCGACGGCGAACGAGCGCGGATCTGATTGTTTCCTCGCGGCCGGAAGTCCCGAACGCAATTACATCGCGCGGTACGATCGACCGCAACGCGGATTTAACGCGGGTATAATTCCGCCTCTAACCCCCCTCCCTCCCTACTGCCATCCCGTGCGATCCCGTTTGTGCGACTCGTTTTAATAAAGTGCAAATTCCGCTCGATTGGGACGCGCGCCGTAACTTTGTCTCCGACGATCCCGCCGCTCTTGCCAACGACGTGTCCTCCTTGTGCCCGGTATCTCGAGACATATTCCTCGAACGTGACTACAATAATTGTTGTCTGTTACCGGCAGACGTTAGACACGCGGTAACGGTGTGCGCGCGCGCCGTGTGCGTGTTAATTAAGGATTAATTCACGCTCGATTTCTGAGGGCGAACGAAAAAAACACGCGCGCATTGTTGTTTCCTACGCTGAGGGAGATCGCGGGGACGAAGGAAGCAGGAAGGATTCGAAGAGAGCAGACACACTAGAGCCTACCTTTGCCATCGCTGAGCTCTTTTGCACGCTGTGCCCCGAGTGTCACCGAGGAGGTACAAACCAGCCACCAAAACGTACGCAGCAACATCGTTATCACTTTACCGCAGCTTGTTCACCGTGGGGAGGGATGCGGCTCGTTAACTGTTCTCTCTCTCTCTCTCTCTCCTTTAGCCGCTGCGCGCCTATGCCTCACGGAACGCGTCCCTTTACCATTCGGAGTTGGCGTTGTCTGGCAGGCGCGATGGAAAATCGCTAAGAATACATGATACACTGATCGTCTCGGAGCGAAGTTTTGAGATAAATAAAATGTAACGAGCGAGCGACGACGAGGAGCTGTCCGGGTCGTTCGATCGCGCGTACGATTAAATCCTGCGACTTGTCAAAGGAGGTGGGTCAGTGCGTCAAATATCGACGTTCCGGAAGACGAAAGGGAAATGAAGGAAGCGAGTCAAGCGCGACGAAGAACGAACCGCGGCGCCGGGTCCTTAAGGGATGAAAACGTTAATCTTTCGAGTCGAGCCGCTGACGTTTGCGATCGACCATCGTCGTCCGCGAATCCGCTGTGCGAATTTTCTTCTCGCGCGATTTTCTTCTCTCTCTCTCTCTCTCTCTCTCTTTCTTGAAACTCGACTAGACTGGAGAGAGCGATCCAGTCTCGTTAGGTCGTTTTACGGGAAGAATGTCACCGACCCGGCCCGTTTGGGGGAATTGGCTCGCCGATGGCGCGAGTGGCCGACACTCAGGCCGAATTTCCCGGCGTATTCATGCTTTGAGCACGGTGACGAGGGTCATGCATACGCGACCTAGCCCGATCGACTCCGGAACCCTTAATAAAGTCGGCTTCCAGCAAGGCGAGAGTGTAATAGATAGAGGGAAAGCGGAGCTACGAGCCGTCAGTGTAAAAAAGCGAGACGTAGGAGTTCACGGTTCTTGAAGACATTTTTGTCCGAGCGAGCTTCTTATCACGACTCGCGGCGCACAACCGCGAGGGAGAGAAAGCAAAGGAGCTGTCAAACAATCGTCGCACGAGAGTCGAGGATCGTTGGGCGGTCGAGGATTCTTGCGCGTTGCGGTTGCAACGCGCCTCGATGCGTGCCACATCGACGCCAACTCCGTGGCTAAGTTCAACAAAGATTCACAACATATATCGGAGTTCACTCGGTATGGAGAAAACAAAAATCGAGCTGTGAACTTTGTGTGTATGTACGCACAATGAAACTCCACGGAGAGAGAGAGAGAGAGCGACGGAGAAAAAATCCAAAGAACGCCCTGAAAATCCGAGTCACGTCTTTTCCCGGGTTTCGACGAACGGGTCGGTGTTCACTCCTCGCGCTAATCGGAACCTCGATTTCGGGCAGCTGACTGGACCGATGACCGATGAGCGACGGCCAACGGCACACGGCTGTCGATGCGTATGACTGTACGTGTGTACGGATTTGTGTATGTGTGCGTGCGTATGTATATGTATGTATTTATGTATATATATATGTGTGTGTGTGTGTGTATATAAATAAATGTGTATATATATATATATATATATATATATATATATATACGTGTGTTTATGTATATCCAACACTAGCGAGACCCGAATCGAGTGCGGGTGTATACGCGCGTGCAGTTCCGTCTGGACCGAAACTGAGCGGCGAACACGCGGCGCGCGAACGCGAATGCCCGGCATGCGAGCCGAGACTGCGCCCTCCAACGTTTCCCCATAATACGCGTACCCTCCCTCTCTCTAAGCGTCCCTCCCGCTACCGGCGCCCGTCGCCGTGTCTAACCCCCTTTTCCCTCGGCGACCGAGACCGCCGCCCCTGACTTACCTCGAGAGTGCAACATCCACCCACGCGCTCTCTCTCTCTCTCTCTCTCTTTCTCGTTACCCTTTCTCCCGCCTCCTCGATAATTCCAGATTTCTGCAGGCTGACCGAGATACAAACCCGGAGCTCACCCGCCCGCCTGCATTCTTCTGAACACCGTTCTCGACCGCGAGCACTCCCGTGTTCACGCTTGTTTTCTGTCCAATTATTACTGTTGTTATTGATTTCGATCTCTTCAGCAGAGGGACAAATCGGTTGAAATCAGGGTTTGAATCTAATCCGGCAATCATTTTCGAGATTCCAACCGATTTCTAATTTTGAATTTCTCGTTAATGGAATATATCAGGTAGAACAGAGGATCGTGATGATTTCAAAATGACTCTAGGAATTCACTTTCCAACCATTTTTTCATCATTTTGACATTATCTCTATTATTCTCTATTTTGCCTAGAATAAGGATTTTTATTTCTTGCGTTAAGAAAAGTTATAGTTGAGGAATATTAAATTAGATTAGGTTAGGTCGTTTCTATAACCTATTATGTAAGAAAAAGGCAAAAATGCTTTTATTTCGTCAAGTTGATTGTTGGACTTTGTGTCTAAGTAAAGGAAGTTTCAGGTGATACTAAGAATGTTGAAAAGTACTCAAGATATTCATCTATCGTTAGAACACATATATTGAATTAATCGATATAAATTGATTGAATCGATGTAAATTAAATATATGTACAAGAAATAATGTATTTTCGAATATTCAAATAATTATATTTTTTCGCCAATTGAAATATATAATATTTTTTTCAAAAGTCTACATATTGACAAGAAAGTTTTAAGTTATTAAAATTTCTTAAAATCATTTTCAAAATAATTATACATTTTTATATAAACTCATGTTCTTGCCGAATTTTTCTTTATATTTCCAAAATGAAATATTTAAATAAAAAAAAACTTACGATCATTTCTTTACATAATTTTATTCTACAGATTATTTAAAAATATATTAATAATTTTTTATATATTTTTATTGCCGCTTTTCCACAGAATTTAAATAAGTAAGAATGAAAACAGCACTAGTGTGTTAGATTAAGGTGCCAAAAAGAAGTTTATCATGTGAGGGTTAAATAAATACGACATCTGCCAATCATGTGACAAGACTTTCGCTTTTTGCGGGACTTTGCGTTTTTTCGCGAACGTTATTCGCGGTAATGTTCATTATATCTTGTCGATAATGTTTGAATTGAGAGAAGCATTTATATATGAAACGTATATA